ATTAGAGCCTGACTTTTTTGACTACAGAGCTGCTGTTATTACTTGAACCATTGTACCCATCACAACCAGGATGCCTTCACATATGGGCTTGGCCATGTCGGATTCCACGACTTGGTGCAGCAACTCTGCTTCGATGACGGAGGTAACCATGATCGATAATGATGACTTGGGTGTGAATTAGGTATATTTTCTGGGATGTTTGATTAAAAGGCCTTGTGCCTGATTTCTAAATAGCATCCAACAGATTTAACGGTGGGGGAAGGAGATGATATTGAGGAATGAGAAAAGGAGAGAGAGAGCTTGGGGGTTATAGACTTATGGTGAAAGGAGGATGAAGAAGAAGAAGATTTAGACTTTTAATGAAACTTTTAATGGGGTTAGTTTTAATTAACAGTTTTAGGTTTTAGGGAGTAATGGATCTAACAGTGAAAATTTAAAGGATCCAATAAAAAAGAAAAAAAAGTTTAGGAACTTGATTCAAAATTGGGTATAACTATAAGGATCTCCAAATTAGTTTTCCCTTAAATCAACAAATAATCATTGTTTATCAAATAGTCTCCACACGCGTCCTTTTTTTTGTTTTTGGATTTCTTCAAGATCAATGATGTTGCCTCAAAGCTAACAAGCTAAGGATTAGGAACACTGTTCAATCATGCTGTGTGGATCTGCAAATGGAAAATCAATCTGTACAAGACGATGATGATGAAGACCATAATATGGTATACATGCACCCTACTCAGAACTGAAAATATATATATTTATATAGGTGCTGGGGACAGCTTTAATTTGAATCAAAGGTTTAAACATAAGTGAGGTGTAGAATATATAAAAGTGTTTTAATCATTAGGATCTGGTTTAGTCATTTCATTTCAAGTGATTTTCTATTATAATAAACAACAAAAGTGTTTAAAATTAACTGATTCAGAACACATGCGTGTGTATATGTTTAATTCCCCCCGGACAATCCCATCATCACAACCTCCATATATATTTTCTTCAATTTCATCAATTTTATATTTCAAATTCCTAATCTAAATCTCAAACGTTTGGCGGTTATGAAAGCATGGGTGAAATTTTCCTCAGCCTCTTCCTTCTCTGTCTCCCTCTCCTCATTTGTATCTCTATTGTTTAATAATCGGTTTTCTAGGCATTACGAGAGAGTATATTTGAACATCAAATGAGATGTACTTGTGCAATTGGAAAAACAGAAAAATACCCTTTGATTAAATTTTTATTAAAATTCCCAGAAAGGTAATAGAACAAATTATGCGATCCATCGGGAAGGAATATGGAAAACCATTACAACATTTTTTTAAAAAAAATAATACTCAAAGTATTGAAATTGTACTTAAATATTATGCTTTTGCCACTCCGCAAATTAAATATTAAGCGTGGGTGAAATTTTCCTTCCTTCTCTGTCTCCTTCTCCTCATTTGTATCTCTTTTTTGGATATAACCTAAAGGCAATCCTTTGGGCTTTAGACTAATTCCTGTGAAGTCATAAGTGTTAAGGTTAAAACCCTTCTAATAAATGCGTTTTTTGAAATTTGAACTTGTGTTCTCCTCCTTATAAGAGTGAGTCCGCTTACCATCTCATTTGTATCTCCATTGTTTAATCATTGTTTTCTGAGGCATAACAAGAGACTATATTTGAACATCAAATGAGATGTACTTGTGCAATTGGAAAAATAGAAAGATACCCTTTGATTTAAATTTTTATTAAAATTCCCAGAAAGGTAATAGAACAAATTATGCGATCCATCGAGGAGGAATATGGAAAACCATGACAATATTTTTTTAAAAAAATAATACTCAGTATTGAAATTATACTTAAATATTATGCTTTTACCACTCTGCAAATTAAATATTAAGCATGACTGACATTTTCCTTCCTTCTCTGTCTCCTTCTCCTCATATGTATCTCTTTTTTGGATATAACTTAAAGGCAATCACTTTGGGCTTGAGACGAATTTCTATCAAGTCAAGAGTTTTAAAGTTAAAACCCTCTCAACAAATACGCTTTTCGGGGTTTGAACTTATGTTTTCCTTCTTATAAGAGTGAGTCTGCTTACCATCTCATTTGTATCTCCATTGTTTAATCATTGGTTTCTTAGGTATAACGAGAGACTATATTTGAACATCAAATGATGAGATGTACTTGTGCAATTGGAAAAATAGAAAAACACTCTTGATTTAAATTTTTATTAAAATTCCCAGAAAGGTAATATAACAAATTATGCGATCGATCAAGAAGGAATATGAAAAATTATGACAATATTTTTTTTAGGCGAAAACTAATACTCAAAGTATTGAAATTATACTTAAATATTAAGCCTTTACCACTCCGTAAAGATTTTGGTAGCGGGCAAACTCTTATCATTTGAATTATTCAAATGCATAAAAAATAGGAACTAAAAGCCAGAAGTGATCCTAAAGATTTGGTAACCAATTCACAGCAAATAACAAACTCCTGTAATAGCAAAATTCGCAGTTTTAATTTCATCAATGAGACAGATTTGCAAATCCAAAGATGATGAAAAGATAAGATCTGATAGTTTCATTCTTCAATGTTCTGGTATGATCGATCTCTCTCTTCACTTCATGTAATTAAGTTGGTTACTTTTGTTTTACAGGGTTCAATTTTCATTTCTCGATTGCATCAAATTCTTAATCAGAGTTTACGGGTTTTGGTTTATTTTTAGACCAATGAGTTCCTATTCCCAGCCAATGGTTACAAAACAGCAAATTACCATTTACTTCTCACATATACCTCGGTTTGAGAAGAACAACTAATTATGTGCTTGAAAATGAAATATGAACTATACATCACTTTCTCATATGTTCCTCCGGTCCCTAATTTATAGAACCTAATTAATGAATTGATCTGAGTCCTAAATGCAAGACCTATCTCTCATGTTAATGACTTCTGCCCTAAACTAACCCCTATTAATACTCTTTCAACAAGGTGGCAGGTTCTTCTTTGGTAGAATTGTTATGAATTCCTAAGTAAAGAACATAATTATTAAAAAGTCCTAATGACAACAAATCAACCTATACTGATAAGTTTGAGGGTAGCAAACTACAACTCCTCAATTGTTATTAAGACTTACTGGTAATTATTTTCTTTCTTTAGGATTTTATTGTAATTCTTCCTTCTTCTTTTGCAACAGTTATTAAAACCAATGACCATCCTAAATGAAGATATTTTAAGAAAAATATGTCATATTAATTATAATTAACAAACTTAATAAAATTTTAATCTAATCAAATTAGTTAAACAAATTCTACTTTAAGGGGACGGGAGAAGTATATATAATTGATCCCAACTCTACCCTTGAAGCTCATAGACGTGTGGTCATGTGGGGTGCTTTGACCACTTATGAGTGAGTGATGTATTTTCCTTTTTAAGTGAAATAATCCTAACCCTATTTAGATATACATACAAAATAAGTCTCCCTTATGTTTATCCAAAACGAAGCTGTCAATACTAAAAAAGAAATCATAGTTAGACAGAAGCTCGCCTAAGTTCCAAAGGTTATGAGCCTATTTGGATTGCCGTTCAGACTGGGAAACCCGTATCGGAAAGTGCACAATGTGGGTTGGGGAATTATATGAGGATAAAGACTCGTTTGGATTAACATTTTCTCCATCTGGCTTTTGGAGAAAAAATTTGGTAATGCAAAAGTCAGAAAATATCACGATGGGCATTGGTGGAAGTCCATTCACCATTTGCTCATTTACAGCGAGCCAATTCTGACAGCTTAACTTCATCATTTCATTAGTTCTCTCTTCTCATTCAGTTTGTTTTGTTCTTCGGTTTTACACTTTTACTAATATAATTTGTCCGTATGTGCTTGTGATTGAAAGCAACTTTGCAAATCTACTCATACTTTTTATATATTATTTAGTTAATTAATTTGGACAGATTAAAAAATATAAATTAATTATAGCATATGTTATATAATCTCACTAAAATACTTATATGTGTTATTAAACTATATACAGTTTATAAGTCACACAAATTAGTTTTCAATAACAATTTTATATTTCCATTTATTTTTATTTTTATTTATTCAGTACATCAGATTAAATAAATGGTTTTTAATACAGACATATTTTTTTCAAAAAAATACAGACATATTTTTCTAATTATATATTAATTCTTTTTATTTTAATTTATTATTTTTATTAAATTTATCAAGTTATATACATATGATATATATTATAAAGCGTGTCTTTTTCCATCATTTTATAGCTAAATTAAATTTTTTTATTATTTATGCAAACAAATTTCAATTTGTTAAACTAATTTTTTCATAAAAATCAATTCAAATATAAATTACATTACACGACTTTTGCAAAAAATCAGATTTCAAAAAAGTTACTTATGTCACCACTAAATCTAAACACATCCTATATTTTTATATTTTTGTTGGGACTAACTACCTAGTTCACCCCCAGTGGATTGGGAGTCAGGCCTAATACAATTGGAGCTCTGATGCAAATAAAAATTAAGTAGAGGTCCACAAAAGTAGTTTACTTCCTTTGTTTGAAAACGACCCAATAACCATTGGGGAGAGATTTATGAGATGAAAAGAATGAGGGATCAGTTTTCACGGACACACAGAGACGTATAGCCTCGAGAGTTTAGTTTTGCCCTCTTTCTCTTCTCTCAGAACCTCTCTCGCTTTCTCTCTTTCCTCTATCGCTGTTATTTGCTGTGTAAGTTACACCCCAAAATCTTTCAAATTTTCTAATTATAAAGAGATGACATTTCTCGTAACAAAAATATAGAATCACAGACTTAATTAAGAGTGGGCTTTAATCGCCATAAAAGGTTATAAATACAATATTCTACCACTTATATATATATATATATATATATCCTCGTTAGGCTTTTTCTATTTCATGTTAGTTTGGGGAAAAAAAGGACGATGTTTAAGATTTGGTTTTGGTGGTGCAGGCTTTGTATGATTGATCATGTTTGTTGAGCAATCATAATGTCATTAAGAAATTGTGTCGACGATGAAGAAGAAGAACAAGGACGATGGGGAAATCTACCGCCAGAATTGCTTTGGTACATGATAAAGAGAGTGGAAGAGACTGAAGCATCTTGGCCTGCTCGTTTTATTCTGTCTTGTGCTTCAGTTTGTAAGTCATGGAGAGCAATCACAAAGGACATTGTTAAGACTCCTGAGCTCTCTGGACACCTCACTTTTCCCATCTCATTGAAACAAGTAAGTAATTATATAATTTCTTCTATTATTCCAAATGTTTTTAATATCTTTTTTTTTAACTACAAATAGAAAAAGGATCCTAACGAAATAGGAAAGCTCTCTCTCAAAATTTTAAAAAGAGATCTTTTATTTTTTTAAAAAATGAAAAAAGAAGTCACTTTATGTCTGCTGAACACAATCATGAAATTACCAAGTGACGTCTTTTTGGTTAATATTACCTCCGATCTTTAATATAAAATTTTGTTTGACTTTTATTTTAATCTTAATTATAAGACTCCAGTCAATTTTGTCTCTCATATTTATGTATTTTTTTCCCTCAAGGTAGTCATTCTAATAATAATAATTCTAGCCAATACACTTGATTAGTGATAATATTTTAGGAAAGACAATATTTATTTATTATAAATAACTAACTTAATATATTTTCTTAATCTCTTCAAGTTAGTCAACTAGGTCTTTTATTTAAGACTAGAAATAATAATTTATTTAAAGATTTAATTGTTGACAGAATATAGCAGTCTTGTGCAATCAACGTGGATTAATTGGGTCTATCTAGTGAGGACAAAACTTCTTGTCATTATACTCCTCTAGTCTTTAATATAGAAACTAGTTAGGAAGTTGATGTAAGTCCTATATATAGGATTTATTACATATATTTATCAATTTTTTTTAAATTAACTCTATTAATATTTTCCCAATAATAATCAAATAGAAGAGGGAGGGAGAGAATTAAAAAAGTTGTTTAGGGTGTTTTTTTGGAAAAAACAAATCATATTAACTAATTTAACTGACATCTTTAATCTATTTAAATTAGTTAATCAAGTCTTATATATATTAAGGATCGGAGGAGTATCATCTACTAAACACAAAAAAAAAAAAAAATGCTTTCCCTTCATGGTTTTTCATCTATGGAATCTTTTTTCTTTAATATATCAGGTGTTTGGTACTAAGGAAAAGTACTTTTAAAAAGCACTTTTCTGTAAAAGAAGGCAAATCCCTCTACATATTTACTTCGTATACTATAAAAGCACTTTTAAACTTATAGTTTGGATTCTATCTAAACACCTCTATAGTCTAATCCTTGTCTTCTTCTTCATCATCTTTTTTTTTCCATTTATAAATGCCTATGATCAGCTAGGGCATCGGGATTCCCCAATCCAATGCTATATCAAAAGGAACAGAGAAACTTCTATTTGTTCGTTGTACTTGGGTCCAGAGCCATGTAAGTAATTTCATTCATTTTATTTTATTATTATTATATATTACTTGTGTTTGTTCATCTTATATTGAAGAGCTTTAATTAATTTGTTTGTGTTTTTCAATATAACAGCAGACAATAGGAATGATATGTTTTTGTTGGCTGCCAAAAGAGAAAAAGGGTTCACACATATTAGTTACTTTATATCTTTAGTTTCTAATGACTTTCGTCCAACCAGCGACACATATGTTGGCGAACTAAGGCAAGTTTCTCTTCCTTCAAGAAACTATGGGTTAATAATATCGTTGTTTCTTATAATTTGGTTCAATTTTAATTTTGATATCTATGGTGTCAAATCATTGGTTTTGATCCTTATTGGTTTATAAAGTCCTTTTTGAACCAGACCCTATAAATAGTAAAAAAATTTACCAAGATACTGCACTTTGAAAAATAATTACCAAAATATTATAGTTAAAATCGTTCAGCTCTGGAACGAGTTTAGAAATTCAAGAAAATTGTTCCTTCAAAACGATTTTCAGTCTGACACAATGAAATTAAAATCGTTCAAGAAGTGAATGAGTTCAATTTTCATTGTTGTGCTGCATATTGCCATCAAGTCATCCCTGGCCCTCATAACTCACATGTAGAACACAAAGAAACGGTGCAAAGCTTCCTTCAAATCAACACTCTAGGCACGTGTTATGAGGGCCACGAATGACTTGGGAAATTGGGTTGATTCAAACCCTTCTGCTTATCTCATTAGAACTTGCTCTTGTAGATTTGTATTTATGAAGGCATTATTGATGTCTAACTGCCTAATAGGCTAGCCGAAAGTCACAACCAAGGTTAATATAAACCGCAGTGTTGATGTGTTCAAAACAAGACTAAAAGTTTCATAGAAATCTATCCCAGGACTTTGTTGAAAGCCCTTAGCAACCAACCTTGCCTTAGGCTTAGAAATTGATCCATCTACACTAGTTTTAACTTTAAACACCCTTTTATAATCTACTAATTTCCTGTTTCCTTGATAAGGAACCAATTTTCATGTATTATTTTTTATAAGTACATCATATTCTGCCTACATAGCTTGCTGCCACTCTTGAGAGTTCAAGGCTTCTTTCACTCAACAAGTTTTGCATTTGTTGTAGCTATACGTACATAGGGATGTTTGGGTTTGTGAATACCCACTTTGCTCCTAGTGACCATATGATGTTGTGCTGGTACCATTGCTATCTCCCACATTTGTGGTTGTTATTAAGATCTAGAGCCCTCTTTAGATTGTATAGGACCACAAGGAGTTGATTGTAGTTCATCTATTGAAGTTGATAAACTCTGTGTGACTAATTCTGACTATGAATTTTTAGTAGAAGTGCTACTAGGACAGTTGGGTATTGGCAATGCAGGAAACTCAGAGATTTGAACAGTTGAACTAGATGTTAGAGGCATTTGAGCTGGATACTCTTTAGGCATAGAGGAAAGAGGAGATTTGAAAAGTTCACGATGAATCATTTCCTCAAGTACCTTCTATTTATTATTCATAAAACCTATTGAAAAAGGAAAATCAGTCTCATTAAAACAACATGCTGTGAAATATATATTCTCCCATTAGAATTGAGACGCTCGTAGCCTTTATGAGAATTACTATAGCCAATGAAGACACATTTGGTGGTCCTGAACTGTAATTTATGGTCATTACACAATCTAAGGCAAGGATAGCACGTAGTACCAAAAATCTTCAAGAACTCATAATCAGGAAACTTGCAAAACAATCTAAGATAGGGTGATCCTCCTCCTAAAACAGGAGTTAGAAGTTGATTAATGAGTTCAGTGGCAGTATGGAATGCCTCCTACCAATAAAATAAGGGCATTTATATGTTATGTTTTCTTTCAGCCCTCCCATTTTGAGGTGAAGTATGAGGACAGGAATGTCTAAAATGTATACTAGTATCTTGTAAAGTTTTAGCAAATGATCTATATTCTCCTCCCTAATCACTTTGGACTATTTTAATGCTACTCTCAAACTGTTTTTCAGCATATTTTTTAAACTGAACAAAAGCTTGTAGAGTTTCATCCTTAGATTTCGGTGCAAAAATCCCAAAGTATCTGTTATAGTCATCAAGAAACAGAACGTAGTACTTGTAGCCATTCATAGAAGCAATTGGTGCTGGTCCCCATAGGTTTATATGAATCATTTCTAGGGGTTTTGAGGCTCAAGAGTTAGAAACCTTAAAGGGCAAAGAATGTGATTTACCATACTTGCAAGATTCACAAAAGAAATGCTCATTCTCATTACTAGAAATTACTTGCATGTTACATTTACTAATGGGCTGATTCACAATCTTTTCACTTGGGTGATCAAGTCTACAATGCCAAAAACTTTTACTGAAACTACAATTCCTAAATGCTAAACTATCAGCTTCTTTGTTTGTAACAAAAACTAGAGTTGCACTACCATCTTTCTACTGGTTTAAAACCTTAAACATACCACCATTACTTGATTTTCCCTGAAGCATTGTTTGCCCTGTTGCCTGATACTTCACACAAACACCACTTGAGTTAAATATCATATCAACATCATTATCACATGCCACTTTATAAACACTTATGAGATTCTTCTTGCTTTAAGGAGCATATAAAACATTTTTCAGTTTAACCTTCTTGTGAGAAGTGTTTTGAATAGTGGAAGAGCCTATTCTTTCTACTCCTAATTTGTAGCCATTACCAACTATTATGTTCATCTTACCAGACAAAGCAGCAAGATCATAAGTTTGGCAAGATCTTTGGCCACATGACTAGTTGCCCCATTGTCCGAATACCAGGTATCATGATTCACAATTTTCAGGATTGCCCAATAAGCACTGTCATGGTCAGAATAAAAGCCCAAGCCTCTGTTGCCATCGTACTTCTTTGTTCCAGACTTAGAAAAGGATTTGTTATACCAATAGAAGCAGTTTTCAACAACATGACCAAACTTCTCACACAACTAACATTTGGATATGTCTTCATTGCTATTATTGTTGTATTGACCACGATTACGATTGTCCCTACCATAGCCCCTTCTACCTCTGTTTCCACAGCCTCCACACCAAGTATTCCTTGGAGTGTACCTCTCCTCAGCTCGGGTATAGTTAACCAGATTAGTATTGATGGAGAGGTGAGAAAGTTGGTTCAGTTGATCCATGCGACTCTTGTAGGTATAAAGAGAAGTTTGTACATCCAGCCAGCTAAGCTCTTCAACTTCATGAGATAGTTGAACCACAATGGGGTTATACTCAACATCAAGGCTAGCTAAGGCCTGAATAATAAGATCTAGAAGTAGTATGGGGCTCCCAAAGAGGAAAAGTTGATTAGTCAAGGCCTTGATCTTGGACAAATATTCATTCATCCTCATAGCACCTTTCCTAGTAGTGCATTGAAGCTCAAATATGAGCATTAGAAGTCTCAACTTGGTCCTTGCTCCAGATGACAGTTTAATGGTGAGCCATAAACCAGCAGATGTTGATACATTAGTCATTTAGATGAAATCTCCAAGGTCATCATGCTAAGAAGCCAACCGAATAGCAACTGGTCAATAGCTACCCATTCCTCAAAATCTAGATTCAATATGGTGTTATTGCATTCAGTGATGAACCGAATGGAACACTTCTTTATCCTATTAATGTAACCCTCAAGCTTATAATCCTTAATAATGGTTAAGACATGAAGGGCCCATACAGGGTCATTTGTTCTGTCCAGCTTGACACAACAATTCTAGGAGAGGGCCATCCTTTTCTTTTACAATTTTGCCAGCAATGATGTGGGCACCAACGAGGACCCTTTGCTGGTGTTTCCATATGGCTAAGAGCGACATGAGTCATTATTGGTTGTCATGGCTACTTACCTTAACGTTCTGATACCAAGAAAAGTCTTTTATAAGAAAGGAAATGTGTAAAATGAGGCATACTATTCACTTTATTTTCTATTCAATAAATAGGTATGATGGCAAATCCTAGAATACATGAGAGTGTGACATATGTACTATACATTTTGTACAATAGAAGAATCCACAATAATAAATGTTACAAGACTATTTACTAAGTGGGCTTTACCTTATTGGGCTTATGAAATAATCTAAGTATAAAATTAACACACCTAAAGATTTGTTGTCTCTAGAAAATAAAACTAAAAATAAGATCAAATTTTAAGAACCAAAACTACTAGTTTCAAATTTCAGATACCATCCAAAACGAGATTGAATTTCAAATACTAAAAACTGCTGTTTTCAAATTTTAAGAATCACAATCAAAATGAGATCAAATTTTAGAAATTAAAGATGGTGTTAATCATTTTTCCCTTTTAATGATGAACTTGCATTATTATTGACTTTTGATAGGTCTAATTTGTTCGAGGACAAGTTCACTATATATGACAGTCAACCTCCAGAACAATGTGAACCTGTTGAAGTAGTTAAACCCATAAACAATCAATTTATTCAGAGATTATTTTACCCTAATAAGGTACCTGAATACAATGTTGGTACCATTACATATAAGGCCAACATTGTTCACAAATGCATGATTCACACAATCGAAGGTCCGAGAGAAATGAACTGCACCCTTATGATTATGAACTCTATAGTGAAGCCTCTGAAACTTAAAAGCAAGGATCCCATGTGTAATGGTGAACATTTTCGATCCTTACACTGGCACCTCAACTTCCGACATCATGGTACATTGCCATCTGCTAATTTTCAGCTTATTGTTTCTGTTGATGATGATGAAGAAGAAGAACATGGACAAGAACAAGAGAAAGAGAAAGTAATCTTGGAATTTGCTAAGATTGGAGAAGACGTGTTTGTTATGGATTACTGTTATCCACTCTCAGCATTTCAAGCCTTTGCCATCTGCCTCAGCAGCTTTGATGCTGATGTCCCCACCTGCAGCTGTGATTGTGGCTCCTAATCTACAAACAAAATATAGATAATTTACAGAAACTATATATTTGTATCTTTCTCTTTATTTGAGAGATAGCTTGATGTTTCAGCTTCAAGTTTAAATAAATCTAAATTTGAATATGAGAGTTTTATGTTTAATCTACAGATGATTTATAGATATTGACCTTTAGAGAAGTTGATGATCAGTAGCTTTGATGCTAAACCAACTTGTGAATGAGAGTAGGAGACATATGGGTTGTTTGGTGGATGGGAATCATCTCACCCTTCATATATATACTAAAACGGTAAAGGCGCATCCAGTATCATGAAATATTTTTCAGGTCTTTATCATGCATTAAACTCCCTAAAGTATTTTTCAGATGTACCCAATACCGTGAAGTATTTTTTTACTGCAATTTTATCCTTAGCAGTTTAGGGGTGCTGAATGCACCAAAAAATAATTTAACATGATAGACGCACTTGAAAAAAATACTTTAGAATATTAAATGCATCACAAAGTACTTTAAATACTAAATGCACCTTAAAAAATGAGAGGGAAGGAAAATTTTAATGAGTTCAATTTAAAAAATCAGCTTAAAAGCTTTTAATTAATTTTTCATACTATTTTATCGTATACCTTCTCTTTATTAAAATTTTATAACACCAATCGTTTTTCAAATTTTTAAATCTAAGTCGTTAAAATTTTTCTTCTCATTCCCCACATTTTCTTCACACCAAAAATAGGGTCAAGTTAATCTTATGGTGCTACAACAATGCTTTCTTAAGTTAATCTCATAGCACTGCAGAAAATAAATCCAATTCCTAGCCAAAATATGTTAATGACTTGGTTCATTTTGTCGGAGTCATCCAATATTGAATTTATATTGAAATTTTAGATCATTGTTGTGATCATGAGTGTTTCGTTTATTATTGTAAGCAAATTATCTTATTTGTATTATTACAATTATAAACTTATATTTGTATTAAATTTCTATGAAATATTATAATGAATTGAATTTTTTATTGGGAGAATTCTAATTAAATCTGGTTGAAATATCAAAATTTAAATTAAAGTCTACACTTTAACAAATTCCTAATTAGGCCAAGAGGTCTTATTAGAGATTTTTTTAATATTGTTAAAAGATTAAAATACCCATTTAAAGCAGCAAATTAGCAATTGGTCCAATCAATTTATGACCTAAATTTTTTTTTTCTTGAGATGTTATTAGATGAACTATCAGCTTCACATGTTCTTAATCCATATGTTGTTAAAAGAGTAAAATATATAATTTTTTTTTTATAAATTCATATTAAGAAGTTCATATTACTCCACCCGTCCCATGAAATGTTAGAAAAGTTATTTAGACTTCCAATACAAACTCATATTAATTTTTAGTAAGAATTTTAGCAATAAGAATTAGCAGTAAGATTATAAGACATAACATGACGAAAACATCTATATGGTAGATATAACAAAGCACTTAAGAAAATGATAAACTTGGTGCTGAAACATACTAATACATTAAGATTCTAATTTTTCAACTATTAGGAAAAAAATTTCTTTTAAAAAATTATTAATTTAATGGTATTGAAATCAAATAATTAAAAGGTCCTATTGCCATTACCAAAAAAAAAAAGTAATTGTTTTCATAAATTTCTTATCAATATATCCGAATTGGTATAAAATATTATATTATACATTGTAAATTTTTTGCTCATAGTATTTTCAATTTTTTTATGTAAAACATTTTGTATAAATAAATACTATATAATTTCAAGTTTTCATGGTTTAATTTTTTTTCAAAATAATATTATTTTAAATTATAAAAAGGTATTTTAGTTTTTTAACAATATTTTTAAAATTCCTAATAAGGCTTATTGGTCTAATTAGGAATTTGTTAAAAACGTAGACCTTAATTTGAATTTTGATATTTTAATTGGGTTTAATCAGGATTCTCCCTTTTTTATTTTACTATAATTTTAAATTATATTTATTTAAATAATAAAATCATACGTAGTCTTTTTATAACACCTAAGCCAAAAAAACTTTATTTTTATTCAATATGCGCATAATCTCCACAACTTTAAGTCAAATGCGAATAGCCCTTTAATTAAATTTTAAGTTATAGATAGATAAGTAATGAACAAAACTAATCATAAGGCAATTATCTACATAACTACTAAAGTTTAAGGAATTCACTGTAATCTTATGTTTGATATGAGAGAATTGAAAGGGTGGGGAGGAAAGAGAGAATTTTAATAAGCTCAATTTAAAAAAATTTAAAAAGTGAGGTTATAAATTTTGGATAAAAAATGTAAGATAAAAAAGTAAAAAAAAAAATTAATTAAAAACTTTTAACCTCACTTCTTGAATTTTTTAAATTAAGCTCATTAACTAAAATTTTCCCTCTCCTCCCCTCCCTTCCCCTTATACCAAGAAAAGTGTCAAATTTAAGGAATCCATACATAACATAACGTTTATGAAATTTAGGCAAATTAATCATATTCCTAGAAAATGCACCATCATGGAATAATTGAATAAAGTGGCTTCTAGAATTGGGCATTATTGCAACATATGGGCGTCCAAGACGCAATGAAATATACAAAATTTCAGCAAACTATAAATCTTGGATAATGCAAATCATTTCTCACATGCATCTAATCTACTAGCTAGTTATAGTCCAAAAGGAGTATGATGAATTCTTGGATAAAAATAAAGAGTATTATTAGTAATAACAAATTAAAGCCCAGTTAATCAAAACTTGGTAGCATCTATCCAACAGTACTCTGGCTATAAGATGAAGATATATAAACATTAACAATATGGCATTCCTTTTCTGAAAAGTAGAAATTAAATATCGAAGATTATTTAATTAATTATTGTTCTTTGGTTGGGGATATACGAACTATGAGGGCCAATTTCTATACCAACCAGCCCAAGCAGAAACCAAGCCACTAATCCCCAGAGTCACAGCATGATTGCAAAATGGGTTTGGTTCAATCTCAGCCAAAGCTATGATCAAATCCGCAATATTTGCAGCCACTGCCATTAGCCTCATCACCCTATCAACCCTAATCTTCTTAACCTCATCCTTATCCCTCTTCTCTTGTTCTTCATCTTCATCTTCTTCTTTGGAGATTTCTCTTCTGCTTCTTCTGATCTTCCTCTCTTTCTTAATCCCTTCCTTTATCAGCAAAAAATCAGCTATGAGGAAGAACATATATCCCACTGCTTCTCCAAATGCTGATATGAAGCTTGCCTTCTTGGCCAAGTCTGCGTTTATCGTACCAATTCTTGCCAACCAGGTAACGTGGTCGAAGAAGAAGTAAATCATCTCGCCGGCATTTGCCGGGATGGCTAGCAGCCGGAGAGTCAGGTTCGAACCCGGGTTTCGCCGGAGAAGGTTGAAGCCGGTGAGAAACCTACCCGTCCTGAAGGCCTTCCGGCTGAGCCCGGAGGAAACTTCCCAATTCTTGAACCTCTTCGCCATCTCCGGGTTGGTCTCTTCAATGCGCCAGTTCGAAAGCTTGGAGACATACTGAAATGTCTTCACCAGCTTGTCTATGCCATCTCTCTTCGCTAGAAACACCACAAGCTTGTCCACTGTGTCATTCATTCTTTCTTTGTTTCTGCTGCAGGGGGGGGGGGGGGAGAGAGTATTTGGGAAGATGATGATGATGTGTTTGTTTAGAGTTGTGGAGGAGGAGATGATTATAGAAGGAGAAAAAACTGAAGCAGAATCACAGACTTTGTGGATTTTGGATAAGAGAAACTGAGAGAAATATGTGGTCACGACCCTTTTAGTTTAAATTTACTTCATATATGACCCTTCGTTTTTCTGTGTCGCTAAAATTTTTGTACGCATTACACATTACTCATCCAAAAATAATAATTCGTACACATTTCAGACACCTGGCGATTATGCGTTGTTCTTTTTTGTCTTTGCTTGTAGTTGGAAAAATTACCTTGCAAATAAATCCAAATGAGTAAGTCTGGTAATTGTTCATATATATGATACAAAAAGTAATAAATATATATATCTATTTATGTGTGTGTGTCTGTGTGTTAAAAAAGCTTTTTATATCGGTTCTATAATTAGTGCAGATAAGATAACACTTTCTACACTAATTATTAAATTAATATAGAAAAATGTACTAATGAGTATAGAAAAGGTTAATAAAAGAATCTCTTCAATTTTTTTTGGGCGAACGAAATCTCTTCAATTTTTACGCCAATATATAGGTTGCAAGTGAGTCGGTATAAAAAGTCATGTTTTTAAACCTGATCAATATTATACAAGTTAAATAGTAAAATGGTCTACCAAGGAAATAAAGTAACCATGAAATGTTTTTATGATATAAATAAATATTTATTTAATTCATATATTTCAAATGTGGTAATTCAATTGTGATATTTCTTTACTGCGTTTGAAGCTAGGTAAATTATTATTAGTATAAATTTATATATTATTTCCTTTACTTTTATGGGTCTTTTTATCCTTTTTCATAACATATAGAAGCATTTTCATCTGCGTCAGGAATTAAAAAAATAAAAAATGACAGAAAAATACTTATTTAATTTCAAAATGACAAATAGGTATTATGAAGGTAATCAAAATTATGACAAGAGTAGCCAATATGCCCTATTTATCTTTTTAAAATTTAAAAAGTATTTTTTCTGTCATTTTATCTTAAAAAAACATTTTCATTGTCAGATACAAAAAAATATTTTTTTATTTGTTTCTAATTTATATGCTACTTTCTGTCAAATGAGTAGTATTCTCTCCATTAGCTTTTTTTTCCCATCATAACCATTAGATCAAAATTCCAATGGCTTCCTTACAAACAAACAAAAAAATCTAAAGGGTTAGATTTAACATTTTATAAAAACAAATATTATTATAATTTTAGATAAAAGTAGATAAACAAATTTAAACTCTTAAAATTTGATTTGAATAGTTCACAATTGCAGTAAAAACATTAGGAAAAAAGTTGCTTTTATAATAATAGCCTATATAGTTGTGAACTGTTCAAATTAAATTTCAGAAATTTAAATCTATTTATATATTTTTATCTAAAATTATAACAATATTTGTGTTTATAAAATGCTAAATCGGAACCATTGAAATTTTGATTCCATAGCTATAAACGGAAAGGAAATTAAGGTCAAGTAGGGGAAGAAGTGGGTAAGCGCAATCAAGACGATTAGTCCTTTGCTGTCAAACCCATTTTCAAAAACTAGAAATAGATCTTTAGTCTTTTCCCTTAAAACTAGAAATTTCTCCCCCCAGGAATGTACAGATTAGCAAATTTGATTATATTTAAAATTTAATAAATTGCGTTATCTAAGATAGTTGAAAATCTACTTCTAACTAGAGTTGGTAATATGGGTTGGACCCGTCAACCTGTAAAAAATGATGGGTTAGGGTTAGCTTTGGCCAACCCACTAGTAAATGAGCCTTTTTAACCCACACCGCTATTTTTTAAAATTTTTTAATTATATTATTATATATTATATCCTATTTAAAAAATTTTAAAATACTTTTATAATTTATTTGGAGCTTTCAATCAAATATTTCAAGAAAAAAAATTATTTTTTTGATATTGTATAAAAAAAGATTAAAAAGTAAAAAAAATTTCAAAAAAAATAAATAAGTGTTAGCTGGTTGGCAGGCCAACCCACCAACCGGCATTGGGGGTTATGGTTGGATAAAAGCCAACTTACCTTCAAACGAGCTTTTTCAACCCGACCCAAGGTACTAAAAACCAAACCAGTGACTAAACCGATCGAGGCAATGATTCAAGGATTAGTGGGTCAGACCGGAGCCAAACCAGTAATAATTAATATATTATAATTTAATTAAAACACATAAAAATATTTATATTTTAATTTTGAAAACAAATTATTCAGTCTTTAAATAAAAAGAACTTTCTTTTCCATTATTTTTTTTAATTTCTTCTCCTACCTGTCACCCGTACATTCCTCTTGCTTTTTGACTTTTCTCTTTGTTATTCTCCCTCTTTCACGTGATCACTTGCCTCTCTCCTCTCCTCAAGCATCACGAGTCTCAGTAGCTAGGATAGTCTTTTCATTTATGCTTCCTACGCTTTAGCATTCAGAGCGCATGTTTCGAAGGCAACCTTCTTTTGCATTTTGTTCTCTCTTTCTTCATCGGCATCCATGGCTTTTGCACACAGATTTGATAAGCTCTTTGTAAAGCATGATGGCAACGGTCTAATGAGTTGCAGGGAGATCTTGCCACTAAGAAGAACGACGGTGAGGAAACGGTCACAGCGGCAACGAAGTTCAACTTTCATAGCAAAATCCGACGACGGTCTGATCTGTCTTTTTTTTTTTTAAGTTTCTGAGCATGGGAAGCTTTGAAAAAAAAAAACCCTGGCTAACCCATCCAGACTAGTGGGTTACCTGGGTTAATCCCAGTTTACTTCAAGTTAAACCGAGTCATGCCGGTTCTTTGTGATCTCGGTTTTGTTAACCAACCAGACCGTACAAGTGACCGGTTCACCGATTTCCAGTTTGAACCGACCAATTCGGTCCGGTTTTCCATACCATGGCCTGACCCGCCATAGGCTCAACCCCCCACAAGTCAACTCACAACCTGCGGGTTGGCCCATATTACCAACCCTACTTTTAACAGGAATATATTTTTTGATTCATTTTAATGGAATTTGAGTTAGAGATGCAAAATCTATAGAAAATAGATGAAAATTTGGAATTATTTCTTTATTTCTCCATTTAAACATTTAATTGACATACTATTTAATTATGATACTCTTCATTTAATTTAATATATTCAAATTCAAATTAAGATATTATTCAAATTGAAAATTAATTATTAATTTTTTCATTTGAGCATCTATTTGAAATTGCATTTATTTATAATGTTTTCCATTTAATTCAATATATTTAAATCTCAATCAAGGTATTATTTAAATCTTATTAATTGAATATATTCAGATATCATAATCTCATACCTGACCTACTTTTAAATCAATTAGGTATTACAAATTTTCAAGAATATAGTTGATAATTGATGATCTATTGATAGTTGATGGGAAGTGGATCCCCTCCTAAGCGTTAATTGCAAGGATATCAGCCGTTGAGTGCATGTTGGTGCTCTCATTCATTCACTTTTTGTTTTAATTTTATTTTTTTCTCCACATTAACTCTCACAAGATGTTGATTGAGGTGGTAATTAGTAGTTTCATTTTGTAATGAAGAGATCACAAGTTTGAATACTGAAAAGCACACTTGTTTAAAGAAGCAAAATCCTTTACGTTGTAAGCCTCAAAAGTGAAAACCCTTGATGAATTTTTTTTTCAAAAAAAAAAGTCTCATATAATATTGGATTATAGGGGTGTTTGTTTGTGTTCTATCCTGGCATCCTATTCCAGTCCTAGTCATTTTGGGATGAGACAGTCTCATTTCAAAAATTTTTGAAATGAGATAAAAGTGGATAGAGACAAAAATATTTTGGGACAGGACGGGATAGGACATGAGACAAGGGCATCTCATCCCAATCCTGTCCAAACATATTTTTTGAATTTTATAAATTTATTTTACTTATTATTAATATAATAATTTTATAATGTATATGATTATAATTTCTACAATTTATAAATTTTTATGCATGGGTTATATGATGTTTTTAGGGGATATTTTGAATTTAATATATTTTCTATTTTCCAAAAAAAAACATTTTTCTTTATCAAGTTTCGATTCCTATTAATTTTTTTAGCTAATTTTTATCTATTCTATATGTATAATTTTTATAATTAATTTTTATGCTTCAAATATATTTAGTTTTAAAATAAAAAATTTAAAAAAAATAAAAAGGGATGTCAGGATGGCATGGCATTGTGATGGCACGACTTTCTGTCATGTCCCAATTATCAGTATAAGATTATCTAGGTCTCATTTCACCCTACACTTAAAAAGCGCTTATAGAGGTATTTACAAGTAGCTTACTAACAAAGTTCTCACATCGGTAGCAATATTTAAATTCACAATTTTATGAGTTATGAACTGACTCATTACTAAGTAGACTAACTCTTATTCATAAGAGAACACTTTTCTGTATATTGGAAATAGTGTTGAGCAAGCAGTTTGTAACCTATAAATTTTTCGTCTGTTTGAGCCCATCTAAAAAGAACCCAAAATGAGCGGGCTATCATATTAAATAGAGTTGATAAAGTGGACTAGCAGTGCGAATATCAGCCAACCCGAGACAATGGAGGCTAAAGTAGCCCACGTTGCCAGCTTGTTTATATTTTTTAAAAAATATATTTTAAATTATTTTCACACACTAGTAAATGAGCTATGCATGTGTCCCTATCTTTGTAATATATAGCCATGTATTTGGAAACTGAAAGGTGTGGGCCAGTTCTTGGTCAAAAAAAAAAAAAGGTGTGGGCCAGTTAAAAAATAATAATAATAAAGTTCCAAACGTATGTCCAATATGCCTCTATTTGATTTTTTATACAATATTTATTATTTTTTAGATAAACAAAACTCTTATTATTAATATGGGTTGGGCTTTACAATCTAAAATATTAAAATTGGACTGGGAGTATTAGAACTGAGTAGTAAATTATAATAAGATAATTTAAAAATTGACTTATATGTATTTATATAAATATAGTGGGCTCGCCGATGGCAAAACGGGCTTGAAGCAGTGTGGCTGAAGCCCTTGGCACCCCACACCTTGGCCGATAGGCATTATGACAAGTTAGGCTTGTATATTACCGGCTCGATTATTCAACAGGAAGGGGCTTTTTTTTGCATTTTAATATTTTTCATTCTTAAATTTCATTCTTATTTTCCTTTCACCCGTTACTTTGCCTATGATGATGGCCATGATGATGATGATATTACTTAGTATTATTACTATATATGTTACTCTCTCCATTCCTTATTATAAGAGACATTTGATGCTTATAGCATGTTCCCATATATAAGAGACACTTAAAAGTTGTCTCTAGTTTTTTATATTGATTTCCTATTTTACCCCTATTTATTTTGTCTCCAACTCATATTCTCTATCCCTCCCACTTCTCTTTCTTTTAATAATTTAATTGTTCTCTCTCATACTCTCTCTCCTTATTAATAGAGGCATTGTTGGAAAAAACATTACACTTTTTACACATTAATTGTCCTCAACTAATTTTAACTATTTTTTTTATCAACGTAATTTGATTATTTGTCTCTTATAATAAGGAACGGAGGGAGTATAATACAATTATAAAATATAATTATACATACAAGTATAACTATATTTATATATATTTTGCCAACAACTATAATTTATATATATTAAGTATTAATTAAATTTCATTTGTCATTATACTTTATTAAGCATTTTACAAAATTTTTTAAAAAATTAAGATAAAATAAGGATAAAATAGTCCACATAAAAATTTCTCTTCTTCCCTCCTTTTTTAAACCAAACAAGATAACATTAAAATTCCTTCCATCTCCTCTATTTTCCTCTTCTCTGTTCTATTAAAATCCTTCCCTTCCTTTTCCTTTCATTGAACCAAACACACCCTTAGCTTTTCTGTCTTTCATACGTCTTTCTTCTACTTTCTCTCACTCCTAAATTTCTCTGAAATTCATTAAAGGTCGCACGTGCTTTAATTTCTTGCAGAGATCCTTTTTGTTCTTGTGCGTAAGATTAGAGCCCTATTCTTGCAAGTATGCACTTGAGCATGACTTTGTGCCTGTTTGCCCAAACATGGCTTAAAATGCAAATAAACCCGATTTAATCAGGAGGTATTGTTTGGAAGGGCGTATCTTGTATTGGGCTTAGAGAAATTTAGGGTCCGTTTGGATCAATGATTGAAAAAAGAGTTTCTTAGAAAAGTAGCTTTTGCAAAAGTGAAATTGGCTAAAAGTTAAATTGAATAAGTTAAATTGTGTTTAGATTGGAGTTCAGAAAAGTTAGTTTGTAAAAGTGAAATTGATAAAAAGTTATTTGGATTATAGTTGAGTAAAAGTAAGTTTGGTTGTAAAATGACCAAAATAGATATGAGTTTTAATAAATAATAAAACATGATTAAAAATAAATAAATTCACATAATACAATGAAATTAAAATAATTCAATATGAAGAAGTTAAATTTAATAAGTGAATTAAATTTTAAAATTTTAGAGAAATTGTAAAAAATATTTTAAATATAAAGTGAAACATGGACCAAAAAAATGAATTGAGATAATATAATAAATTTAAATTAATTTAATATGAAGAAGTGAAATTGATTGAGTAAATACATTTGAAAACATCACATAAATGAAAAAAATATTGTAAAATGGAGAGGACTCAGTGACTACTCTGGATAAAAAGAAAACAAGTGAAGTCATAAGAAATAATAATGCCAGAAGGGAGAGAAAGAGGTAACAAAAGTTTTCTGATACACTCAGAATAATAAATAAGCTCTTCATGGTTGAAAATAAGCTCCCTTCTCTGGCTTATTTTAAACGCACGATTGGGCAGCTTAAATTTCTATAAACCCAATATAGGATATGTCCTTCCAAACAACCCCTCCTAATTGAATCGGGTTTATCTGCATTTTAAGCCACGTTTGGGCCAGCAAACACTGACCCAAATAGGCACTTAAGCTGCCCAATCGTGCATTTAAAATAAGCCAGAGGAAGGAACTTATTTTCAACCTTGAAGAGCTTATTTACTGTTCTGGGTGTGTCAGAAAACTTTTCTTCCCTCTTTCTCTCCCTTCTAGCATTATTATTCCCCATGACTTCACTTGTTTTCTTTTTATCTAGAGTAGTCACCGAGTCCTCTCCCTTTAGCAATATTTTTTTCATTTATGTTGTGTTTTCAAATTTATTTACTCAATCAATTTCGCTTATTCATATTAAGTTAATTTAAATTTATTTTATTATCTCAATTTTTTTTTCATGTTTCACTTTATATTTAAATTTTTTTTATGATTTCTCTAAAGTTTTAAAATTTAATTCACTTATTAAATTTGACTTCTTCATATTAAATTATTTTAATTTCATTTTATCATGTGAAATCATTTTTTTAATCATGTTTTATTATTTATTAAAACTCATACCTATTTTAGTCATTTTATAACTAAACTTACTTTTACTCATCTATAATCCAAAAACTATTTATTAATTTCACTTTTACAAACTAGCTTTTCTGAACTCCAATTTAAACATAATTCAGTTTATCCAATTTAGTTTTTAGCCAACTTTATTTTTTCACAAACTGTTTTTCTGATAAATTATTTTCCTAATCGCTGATCAAACGACCCTTTGCAATACCAGATATTGGCGTTTTGGACGCTTGACATGCACTAGTCGCGTTTCTCAAGTTCAACAAGAAGTTCGTTAGCATGCAAATATTCTAATATTTCCAGAAAGATTCATTATTGGCAGGAAATTTTCTAGTGAAAATCTGACGATGAAGCGGAGACACAAAATTGTCAGTATTGTCTCGTCCAATCCAAATGTACCCTTTAATAAAATCTGACCAGATTAGCCCGGATTCGTTGTTCAGGCTGGACTGGTTTTCAATCAAGTGGCCTAAGCACTTGGACTAGTCCAGCTCAGGGGGATGTTAATTTTTTTTATTTTGTAAATTTTTTTGGCTGAATTTTTATTTTGTAAATTGGATGTTGATTTTTATTGTTATTAAATGTTTCTAGAGATTTCTATAAATTTTTAATTAAATTTAATATTTTGTTATGAATTTTATACCTCAATTTAGAATTAAGCCAAACTAAATCACATTCTGTCTTTTTTAGCCTAATTAGAGATGAGAATACTGGCAGGCCCTGTTATAAGGTTAAAATTTTAAAAATACCCCAATTTGCTAGACTCAGTTCTTAAACTGATGGGCTCAGAGCTAGCCTATGGGCTTTCGGTCTGTTTAAGAAAAAATATTATTTTTTATTTTTCTCACATTTTTATCAAAAAATAAAAATAAACCAATGAAATTATTAATAAAAAAACATATATATAAATAAAATTAAGTCACAAATACAAAATATTATCACATCTAGATATTCTACAACATCTAAGAACATCTAAAACATCTATTAACAAGACAACAACATCTAAAAGTTTAATCAATAGTGCAAATATGTAATAGGCAAATACTATCATTAATTTTTTAAAATTTCCTTATCATTATAATCAATTGCTCTTCTTTTATAGCAACAATATCAATTTTTTTTTATATAGGAATGTTACTTTTAAATTTTACAGTCTAACTACTCCCTTTGTCCCATATTACAAGCAATAACTATCATTTCCCTTTTGTCCCTAAATATAAGTAATATTTGCAAGTTGTCTTAAATTTTTATAGTGAATTCTTTATTTTGCCCTCATTAATTACTTATTTTAATACACAATATATTTACTATCTCATTTTTTTAAACAAACATCTCTCCATCACACATTCTCTCTCTTCCATAATTCTCTTTATTATAATAGTTTTCTTATCCCCTCTCTCATACTCTCTCCCCCTCATAAATAAGGGCATTTTAGTAAAAGAACTTCTAATTTTTACATATTTATTGTCTTTAATTAATTTTAACTAATATTTTGATCTACATGATGAGCTCTAATTAGAGGTGGGAATCAGGGCCGGCTCTTTAGGGCCGGCTCTTCAGGGCTAGAGGGCTTAAAAGGGCCGGCCCTCTAGGGCTAAAATTTCAAAAATATCCCAATTTGTTAGGCTCATACCTTAAGCTACAGGGCTCAGGACCGGCCCGCTGGCTTTTGGCCCGTTTAAGAAAAAAATGCTATTTTTTTTATATTTTTCATATTTTTTTATTAAAAAATAAAAATAAAAATAAACTAATGAAATTATTAATAAAAAACGTAAATATGAATAAAATTAACTCACAAATACAAAATATCATCATATATAAATACCCTTCAACATCAAAGAATATCTAAAACATTCATTAACAAAATAACAACATCCAAAAGTTTTATCTATAATGTAATTGTGCAAGAAATAAAACACTATAATTAATCTTTTGAAACTTCATCATCATTATAATCAATTACTCTTCTTCATAAGTATGCTTTTGTTTCGTAACAAAAATATTAAGTTTTTCTTCTTCGTAGGAATTTTACTTTTAAATTTTGTAATCTAATTATTATTTTACTTTAATATGAGAAACATTGTTGTTGAAACTCATGAATTTCTAATTCAAATTATAGAATCACAAGTTATATAAGTATAAAAATACTCTCTTATCAAATATATATCTAGTTTAAAAATATCAACGTATATAATATAAATCAAATTATTATCAAAGTTCAAATTAACCCATTTTTTTAAAATTAACATTTTAAGCCCTCGGCCCTTCAGGGCTTATTTCTCATTTGAGAGGAAAAAGTTCAAACCCGGCCCTTATAATTTCAGGGCATAAACGGGTCGGCCTGACAGGATCGGCCCGTTTTCTCGGCTCTAACTCTAATGTTACTTATAATATGGGATGAAGGAAGTATTATTTTACTTTAGTTTGAGAAGTATTGTTGTTGAAACTCATAAATTTCTAATTCAAATTATAGAATCACAAGTTATATAAGTATAAAAATACTCTCTTATCAAATATATATAGTTTAAAAATATCAACACATATATAAAGCAAATTATTATTAAAGTCCAAATTAACTCATTTTTTAAAAGTTAATTAGATAAATTATTGTCTAAGACTAAATAAATCAAACAATTATATGAAATTTAATTTCAAAATGATAATAATAATTAAATATTCAAAATATTATTAACAATGTAAAAAAATTAATAATATTATAATTACACAAAAAATTTTAAAAAATTATAAAAATGCTTAAACGGACAGGCCCTCAACCCTGTAGGGTTGGCTTGTTTAAGCCCTCAATCTTATAGAGTTAGTCCTTTTAAGCTCATTTCTCATTTGAAAGAAAAAATTTTAAACCTGGCCCTCATAATTTTCAAGCCTACATAGGCCGGCCCGACAGGTTCGACCAGTTTTCTCAGTTCTAAACCTAATGTCTTGTCTAAATCAAACTTCATGTTGAAAATTAAGTCAATCCAATCTGGTCCATGCATACTCTACTCTCCTCAACATTTGATCTCATTGAAGCTTGCTTTTAGTTTCAGAATTGGCATCAACCAACAATTAACATAAACTGCAAAATCATTTCTTAAAAAATGGTAATCCAAATATCCAAAAAAAAAAATTGTCTCATAAAGACGAGGGAGGATTTTTCCATGAACAAAAAAATCCATGGAAATAGAGAGATATTCTAAAGATTTGTTTTACCAACTAAATATGTATCGATATCATTATAGGCTATAAAGATATGTATACCCATTGGTTAGTCTTGTAATTATTTAAGGTAGACTTCTATAATTTGTAATCACACTAACAATTTATTGTTTCTTCTTTTTATGGACAAATTCTCTTTTGGCAAGCCAAATATCATATGTTTGATTCTCTTATTCTTAATCAACATATGTATCATGTTTTGTTTTTATGTTGACTATTCCTAATAGTTTGAAAGATTTTTTTTCCTTTGAGCCATGAGTGTTTAATTAATAAATCATGTTGGATATGATATCATTTGCCTGCCACTCATTGCTAATTAATCATTTATCTAAAGATTGTCGTTGGCAAAAGACAAAAAATCATTTATCTAGACATTGATAAATTCTTTGAACTGATGAATACCTAGCTGAAAAAAATGTGATACTTCAAACATAGTATCCCATGTTTTAATGAAAAAAATACGAATTATTTCACATCATTAAATTTGAGATTGCTAGTCACTTTCTTATAAATATTTTAAGAATAAAAGTGCTTTTCTAATGTAAAATTAATTTAAACATTTGGTGAAATGAATAAAAATGTTTTAACTCTTATTTATTTGTTTGTTTGTTTGCTTTAATTTTTGCGCTTATTTCTTTTTTTCCCCTTTTCTGGTTCTGTCCGGTGCAAGTTTGCTCTAGACCCTAGTTGTCTTCGTCCGTGGGTCACCAAACCCTAAACATCAAAGTCCTGATCCTGCTTCACTCATTCAAAACCCTACTCGGAGCCCTGTCTGATTGTTATTTCGTCAACTTTGCGGGAAATCCAGGTTAGCCATGGATGCTCAGCGAGCTTTGCTTGACGAACTCATGGGTGCCGGTATACTGGATTCCCCCCTCATCCTGAACTGCTATTTACTTCCGATCTTGAATTGGCTTTTTTATTCATTTTCAATTCGAAGAACTTATTTTGTTATCTTTACGGATTGTATTTGTCGAATTTAGCTCGTAACTTGACGGAGGAAGAGAAAAAGGGGTACAAGGAAGTTACTTGGGACGATAAGGAAGTCTGTGGATTCTACATGGTTCGATTTTGCCCTCACGATCTTTTCGTCAATACCCGCAGTGATCTGGGTGCGTTTCAGCTTGATTTGTTTCCCTTTCAATGTCTAAATTCTCGTGGTTGATTGCTAAAGGGACCCGGTTCAATTGGTCAATTTCATAGCGAATGTGAAAGGTCTACTTCGTTGTACCATACTACTGTTGTCCTCTGGCCACTAAAAATAAATTGAGTTGGAAACAAGTAATGATTCCAACACTGATTATTCGTTTTATAATTTTATTTTTGGGATCTAGGCCCCCTTTCCTTCATGTTAATCTAAATTCGAAATTGTAAAGCATAAATAATGTTTCGAGGGAGGTTCCTCATCTATCTGTTGAACCTCTGAACAGTGACACGGATATGATAATTCCCTTAATTTTTTTTGAACCCACTTCTGATAAGGTCTTTTATGGTTAATTTTCTTCAGGTCCTTGTCCTAGAATACATGACCCAAAATTGAAAGAAAGGTGCGCAATCATATTCATTATATTTTATGTATATGTAATACAGTGTTTTGTGAATGAAGAGTATTGGATTTTTAATTGGTATGCTTAAGTCCTGCTGCAGCTACTCATGGATGGTTCTGTTTTTCTTGTTTAAACTTGATCCTGTTTACGTGTAATTTTCCTTTTTGGGTGTTGGATTGAGATTCTCTATGTGCTTATATCATGGAAGTGCATGCGTCCTGTTTGCTTATAATTATTTTTTTAATGTGTTTGGCGCATAGTGTCTCCCTCTTCCCATTATTGTTTGGTGATAATATAATTTGTACTTGGAAAGTAAGGGTAAGAACATGTCAAGAATAAGGAGGATAAAACGTATTTCCTTTTACATTATGGCCCAGAAAGAACAGAAATGCCATTATTGAACATTTATCTCATGTCTTTGAGCATTTGCAAGAGATCGCCCTTAGAAAACCGGCAGCACTGCATAACTGAAGAGACTACTTTTGGACCATGGGAATTCTAGCATCCCTCCCAATCCTCTCCATAACAATGAAGAAAAAGAATATCCCTTATATCCCTTTTTTGTAAGTCACAACACCCCAGAAAGAATCCCATACAAAGTTCATTAGTCTTTGTAATCCACATTCCTTCAAATAGACTAAGGAACTTTTCTAATATATTTCAAGGAAGGTAGAGAATAAAGTGGTCTTGGGTTTTCCCTTTTTGAAATCACATGATCAGATGTTAGGTAACGATACCAGGCTCTGCGTTAGTAAATGGGATAGTATAGAATTGATTTTGAAGTATTATGTACCTAACAAAGCCTAAATATTAAGAGGGGAGGGAGTTGGATGCATATCAATACATGATTGGTGTAGAATTGATTATGAACGTGTTGAAAAAAGTGTCCATGCTCTGAGTTAAATACCTGAAAAAGCTGCCACTTCTGCTGAGGTATTTGGGCATTTTGATCAGATCCCTGGAAGAGGGAGATATGGTTATATTTTGTAACAATCTATTTATATTTTTTTTGGGTCTAAAGTCAACTAGTTTGTTTGATGGGCTGTTTACCTGGACTTCTTTCATTTATTTAGTCTTTGCATTGTGAGGAATTGGCAACTGTGATGTTTTTGGGGCTGCATATCAAGTTTGTGATTTGGAATTGTCAATTGAAGCATTTGATTGGGAATATACTTACCTACTTGTCAGTTTTTTAAAAGTTGTGACGTTTTATTGTTCTGTTTCCCAATTTATTTATAGGTCGTGGATGTCATTGTAAACGACACAAGTGGATATAATTGAACTTAAAGCCTGTGTTTTGTAGTAAACTCATCTGTTGATGACTTTTTAAGAAAAACCATGGGATCTACAATGCTATAGGTGATTTGTAATGAAGCAATCTTTATAGCATGGCATCATAGACTCTGCCTCGGGGCTGACCACAGTTCATCATTCATATTGTAGATAATACTTGATTTGTGCTTTTAATGCTTAATTTATCTGATATCATTAACTTGTTTCTGATAACTAGGTTGTCTGTGGCATGTGTGGTATGCTCTCAGTATCTCCTGTCTTCTGTTTTATTCTTTGTATATTCTTGTTGCAATTTAGGTTGCTCAAGATATTATTTTTAATATATGTCAAACCTTGGAAGCAATGAGCTTTTATATAAAAGTAATCAATCTCATTGCACATGCCACTTCTTGAAATTTTTTTTTAATCTATAATTTATAATTGTCATTTCTTGTGTCATTGTTGTTTCTTAAAGTGTAATTGAAAAATAGCTGATCTTAATAGCATGATTGTATCATTAGATTATGAAAATTGTCAATTAAATTTATTATGGTTTATGGATAAATTGTTTACAATCCCACCTGACTTGGCCGGTAACATCTTAAATTATTATAGGTTGTATATGTGGATTTACTTGGACGCTGTTGGCATATAGGTTCTTACTTTTATTTATTTGCTGCAACAAGCAACATGCTGCGTTATCTCTGAACCTTTTGTCAAATCATGCGTTGTAAAGCAGTGAAGTACTTCCTCTACTAATATAAATGTACCATACTATAGCATTGGTGCTTTCGTGCATTAAAAGATATTTGGATTTTGCTGCCTTTTGAGATTTTATTGTCTTCTTTGCCCATGTTTCACTGAAATATTAGTCTACAAATGAATGCGCACTCATCAGTGCGTTCCTTTTAGATTTAGTGATTTTGTTGTTTATTTATGTTGTGTTGTCTTCAGTTTTGAGAAATCCCCAAGACACGATGCATTTGTGCCCAAGTTTGAAGCTGAACTTGCTCAGTTCTGTGAGAAATTGGTAGGTCAAATACATTACCTTAACAGTTCCTACGTCAGAAGAATCTTCTTGCACTGCATGTTTATGGTTCATCCTTGTTTTTATCTGGTATTAATTTTAGGTAATGGACTTGGATAGAAGAGTAAGACGTGGGCGAGAACGTCTTGCTCAGGAGGTGGAACCAGCACCACCACCTCCACTGACAATTGAAAAGTCTGAGCAGCTATCTGTCCTGGAAGAGAAAATAAAGAACCTTCTGGAACAAGTTGAATCTCTTGGAGAATCTGGGAAGGTTGATGAAGCAGAAGCTCTGATGAGAAAGGTGCTGAAGTTGATGCAAGTTCTTTATTTTGTTTCTCAGCTATCCATATATTGATTCTCATCAATCTATCTTACAGAAGCTTGTGAAACCTTGCCTTTTGCCAGTGTGAACGAATTTGGGTCAGAGATTGGCATGACTTGTTTTTAATTTGTTTGGATTTTGTCTGCAGGTGGAAACACTTAATGCTGAGAAGACAGCCTTAACTCAACAACCTCAAAATGATAAGGTGATGATGCTTGCTCAGGAGAAGAAGATGGCACTTTGTGATATATGTGGTTCTTTTCTTGTAGCAAATGATGCTGCAGAGAGGACCCAGTCTCATGTCACAGGGAAGCAACATGTTGGTTATGGCATGGTTCGTGACTTTATAAATGAGTATAAGGTGAGCTTTGGTGTCATAAATTAATTAAACCGTAAAACTGATGTAAGCCCTTATGCTGATCTATGGTTGAGAACATTTTTCAGGCTGCTAAGGAGAAGGCAAAGGAGGAAGAAAGATTAGCTCGAGAGAAAGAATTAGAAGAGCGGATGAAGCAAAGAGAGAAGGAGTATGATAGGAGGCGGCATACTGATTCAAGAGATACAGACAGGCATCGAGATAAAGATAGGGATAGGGAGAGGGATAGATATAGAGGAAGAGATTCAGATCGTGAAAGGTCACGGGAGTGGAATGGTAGAGTTTATCGAGATGGAGGGAGAGACACAGATTCTAGGTCAAGGAATGGAAGAGATGGAAGTAGAGACAAGTACCATGACCGGAGCAGATCACGCTCTCCTGCTAGGCATAGCTACAAACGCTCTTCTTGAAGTCCAGTTCACTCAAATTAATGGGATTTCTTGATAGATATCTGAATTTGAATTTCAAATGAGGTAGATCTTAATATCCCAAGACTTATATAAATATGTGGTTTTGGAGTCTAGTTTTCTCGTAATCAGGGGTGAATTTTTTTCCCATCTCAGAGCTTTGTTGAGACAATACAATCTCCCTTTCGTCAAAATTATTTATGGAGAAAAGGGTTGAGGTAGGTAAATCCCTATTGTACTCTTACAATCTATTTTGCGCTTTAATTTGAGTTTTCATGATTTATCTGAAGGATTGTGTAATATCTCTTTGCTCTCGCATTTTCTGGAGATGCTTCGATTTCATAACGCATCTTGCATATTTAAGATGTCAGCTGAATTACATGCATGATTGCCATTGCTGCTGAGGATGGTTTTCTCTTTTTCTGAGGTAACAAGTGAACTTTATACCATAAGAGGAATAGATTAATGTTTATGCTAGAAATTTGTTTCTTTTTCCGTTTTTCTTTTGTGTCCTTGTTCTTACTTAAGGTGATATAGATTAACAGAAAGGTTCGTAAATGCTGCCTATTCTGGCTTGCATTTGAAATTGATATACATTCCGTAGGTACCCGTTATAGGTAAATTTACTGCATCTATCTAGTTGTCTACCTCTCTCAGAAAACCATGCTAGTAATATATATGGTGTTATCGGGATAAATGGATAACTCTTTCCTCCCTTCACTGCCTATGTCTTTCTAAATATGGGTCTGTCGATGGGCGAAGATTACTATATTATGTCTACGCATGAATAGGCCATTGTTTTGACCTGTTTGTTCAAAATCTGAATTATAACTATAGTGTATATCTCATCCAAATTAATGAAGTGATCTACTGGGTGCTTTCAGTTAAAGATAAACAAATAGAGGCCGGTAATTACAGGTATTTAACTGTTTTGCTGGGTGGCTCGAGGGGAAAGGTTGTCATTTGCATGAAAATTAATCAGTGTACTGAGATGCAGGGTATCTTCTTTTACGAACAAACATCAAAACTGTAAATGTGGTGCCTGGAGGTAACTGGTTTTCTCATCTGTATGATAATGCATAATTTCGTTGACAGGAACGCCATTGGTGGTTAGATTGTTTCTGTTAGTGACGTGCGGGAAAATTTAACTTAGAACATTCTGCTTTTGGGAAGAAACAAGGTGGAGGGAAAAGTAACCTCATTCTTTAAGTTTTGGATAATGTGTATTCCTGTTGTGAAACTGTCAGAGTCGTGATAAACAAACATATTTTGCTATTTCTTATAGCAAGATTGTGAATGTTGACTAGATAGAGCAATGTTGGAGCACTGAGTGATTCTGGGATGCACAACTTTGCCTGACTGGGGTTTCTTTATTTTTTTGTTGATTTATCAGAACATTTGATACAATTGTTGGCCTGGAATAGCAATTCCATTTTTATAGGCTTTGTATTAACTGAAGCAAATGGATACTTAAAATACAACAGCGAGAGAACACAGCAGACGGTTATATGCTGACATAAGTGCTGATAATTACTATACTGAATTGTTTACTAGCATCTAATACTGTGGTGAAGAGCTCGTATAACTGGATGGTTACTTTTTCAAAATAGAAATTAATAATTACCCAAGAAGCAAATGGAGGCATTAAATTATATATATATATATATTTGCGTAATTTGCAGTAGGAGTAAAATGGGAAAATGTTGATAATCTTCTGGGGCGCTTGCATCCGCTGCCCCCCCGACCCAAAACTGTCATTTGGAAGGAAAATGAGGTGTGGAATTTTTTTTTCCCAAGAAAAATAAGATCTAGTATATTGTAATATTTTGAAATCATTTTTGATATATTCAATAATCTAAAATATATTTTAAGGAGCACCCACTGACACCGTGTATCCTAAAATAATTTTTAGTATATTTTGCATTTTAAAATTTTGTTTAATAGCGCCCTCTGCCTTAAAATAATTTTTAATGTATTTAGCACTATAAAATATTTATAGGAATAGTATTTAGTGTTATAAGTTTAGGTACTTCTTGTTACTTTGAAAATTATTTCAAGACAGCAAGTGATATTGAAATCAAAAATTTTGTGAGGATACTAGATACTACAAGAAAAAAATATTCTAAAATAGAGGTTGCGGTTGCAAGGTGTTTCTAAAAAAACATTTTAAAATATTGGATCTTGCTGAAAAAGACCATTTAATCCTTCTTATTTTTAACCCAAAAAGACGTAGTGTTAGTTTTGAATAGAGGAGGGCAACAGAGACGGGCAGTGACTAGAAGGGCTTTTTTTTTTTTGGGAAAACTATATTGGAGGTACCTCTACTTTTTTTCAATTTTCAATTTGGTACTTATGTGTTTTTTGTTCTTAACTAAATCTTTATTTTTCTTCTATTAACATCATTAATCCTTATGTAGAGACTAAAAATATCAATAGAACAAAGTTATAAGAGCTAATGTTGCTAAAAAGATAAAATTAAATGTTTAATTAAAGGGAAAAAAACACATAGGTACCAAATTAAAAATTGAGAGAAAGTATAGGTACCTTCAATATAGTTTTCCCTTTTTTTTTTAGGGAATAAAATACACCCACCGCCCTTTTATTTTACTTCAATTGTAAAAATATTTTTTTATTTTGAAAACATATAAAAACCTTCTTTAAAATTAAAATGTACATTACACAAACTTTTCTCCTATATTTAATATTCTATTTCTATCCATTTATATCGTTAGTTGACCATTAAGTTGGACTTTAAATTATTTTTTTAATCAAAATGTTCCTTTTTAACATAGTAATTATTTAGAAATTTATATGTTCCAAAAAATAAATTTTATAAAATTAAAAAATAATTCTAATACATATATTTTTAAAATTTCTAATATGTTTTATAATTTTCTTTTTTTATCAAATTCATTAAAAATTATTTACTTTGATTTCTTTTAAACTGTAAAAACATATTTCAAATTCAAAGTTTTTGTTTATCGTAAAGTTTAAATGATACAAGTTTGAAAGATTTTATAAATTATTTAAATTTATAGTTTAAAATTTTTAAACATATTTTTGTTACAAAAATTTATAAACATATTTAGCCAAGTATATATATATTTATTGAAAAAATTAATTAAATTTTTAATCAAATTTTTTATGTTTGTCCTAACTGAATGAAATTCATGTGTCTATAAAAATATAATTTAGGAATTTATTAAAAAGAGGAGTAAAATAGTAAATAAAATTTATTTTAGTATAAATTTCAGTTAAAAAAATAATAGTTTTTTAGAATATTTCTAATGGTATTAACTGATTAAACTAAACTATATGCTTTTAAAATAAATAAGAGATCTGTGTAATTGATACAAAGTAGAAGGATAGTTAGAGTATTTTACTCTTTTTTTTTTAATAGCACGAGGCTCCTAGTAGATAAAAATTTTATTATTTTAAACTTAAAGAAATTAGAGTAGACATTGCAAAAATGAATTAGATTTGACTTGCAAATATCGTGATGTCTATGCTGCGTGACTATTTCCTTGATGCCAGAGTTGCCAGACGTGATCTCAGAAATACTCAAATGCAGACGTAAAGGATTCAATTTTCTTATATAAGGATTAATCCATTCTGATGTAACCAATAATAAGGGCGCACACGAATATGGACGAAATATATCACTGGAAAACAAAATTATGGACGAAGAAGAGGCTATCGGCCAACCTGTGGCAAAATGAATGGCCACGTCATATAAGTGGGACGCAAGATTTTAGCAAGTTATCGTATGAGATTATTTCTTCTTCTTCTTCTCCCACGTCTACATGAACAAACGTCCCCAAGACTTCTAATAATCAGGAAAGCAATACAACCACTAGTCTATCAAACAAAAATGTGGCATCTCAAAGGGTGACATGAGCAGGTGATGTTCAATGAGCTCCTTTAGGATCTAGTTGAGATGTCTTATAAACAGCTTTTCAATTATAATTTATAAAATATAAAGTAGATATATAAAAAAAGTTTTCTATTAGTTTACGTAAAATGTGTTTATAAGTTATTCTAAATGAGAATAGTATAACCCTTTCGTAGATATTTGTGGGGATTTAGGTAAATAGATGAAGTTTCGTTTTCAAACTCAACTTCAAGATTAGAATAGTGTTTTTTCAGAAAAAATGAAATTTTGATTGTTAAACTTTTTCTCAATTATCAATTCAATCTCTAAATTTTCACTCCAATGACCCAAACCTGTTCTTAGAATTTTTTTCAACTCATGACAATTTAGTCATTTTAATGCATTAATTCAATAAACCCCAAAAACTAAGTTGTTCCAAGTCAAAACTTAAAAATTGGTAATTAAGAAAAAGCCTTTTTTTTTTCCATTTTCTTACATTTAACAAGTAAACCCATCACATGTAATAGAAACAATAAATCCCATAGTCTGACTGCCAGCAAATTACTTCTTCTACTCCATTTATTTGATTATTTCCAGTAAAGTTATGGTAATTGTGGAGATAATTGAAGTAGATAATATCTACTGATAAACCCCACACAATTTCCACAATTTTTTTAAAAGAAAAAAGAAGCGGAAAGAGCTTCCTGTTTCGCAAGATACCAGATATAGTTCATCAGCAATTAATAAAGTGTCTGAAGCAAAATAAGATTGAGACTCATAATGATGCCATCCAATATTTATGAATAAACAAATATATTCTTTGAAAGGAAAAAAAGTTTCACTCCGGAGCAATTGAGTCCTACAAAGTGCGCTGTAAAACAATTGACTAATATACAATATATACTATAACTACTCTATCATATTGTATGCTTTTTGTCCACTGATTGCAAATGAAAATACATGTAGGGGATGCCGAAGTACAATCAGTCTCCTCTGCAAAGGCAGAGCAAAAGGGTGGGAGGACAAAACTGCAAGAAGTGTGATGAGAGAAACCAAATTGAATCGAACAGTCCCTAAATCATGCATTCAGAGAGTCACAGAAATATGTGTCAAAGAAACTTTTTCTCTTTACACATTTTTGTTCCTTTTTTTTTTCATCTCTCTCCCAGGTGTACCATATGCACTTGCTTTTATAACTGCAAAGGATCCATGTCACATAAGAAACATTCATGAATCTAAATTCACACGCCGCATCTTACATATAAGATTGGCAGTCGGCAAATCAAGTTGGTTTCCTGAATCTGTCTTCAAAAGTTCTTTTAGCTGATCTCTAGAGGTAGAAAGACAAGTTTGGAATGTGGCAAGAACTGGGGGTATTGGCATTGAGAGAGCAGAAAGTACATTACTGAGATACTCAATGTCAACTGATAGCTGCTGGGCTCCACGATCAGAAATGTACTGAATCCCACGCAACTGCTCTATGTAAAGAGCTGTTGCACCCTCTGCAACCTAAAATACGATAATATAAAAAAGTTAGGAAACAACACTTCATAGATGCATACAGCATAAAAAATTTGAGTAAAGAACATCACGTGCCATTTTTTTGGAATAATTTAATTTTTAATACACCAGCCCCCATCGTCACATAACTCTATAAACCTACCCCCTTTTTGGTTTTTAAGAATTTTGATGGCCAGGAGGCTCCTTTGGGAAAAAAATTGGAAAAGAATTTTCTTTCAGCAATTAGAAGCTACTCCCTCCGTTCCTTATTATAAGAGACATTTGATGCTTATGGCATGTTCCTATATATAAGAGACACTTAAAAGTTGTCTCTACTTTTTTGTGTTGATTTCCTATTTTACCCATATTTATTGTCTCCAATTCACACTTTCTCTCCCTCCCACTTCTCTTTCTTTCAATAATTTAATTGTTCTCTCTCATGCTCTCTCTCCTTATTAATGAGGGCATTTTTGGAAAAAAGATTATATTTTTTACACATTGATTGTTCTTAACTAATTTTAACTGCTTTTTTGATCAACGTGATTCGGTTATTCGTCTCTTATAATAAGGAACGGAGGGAGTATTAACTAACTTAAAGTGCCACACTGCTCAATTTTGAATTATAACTTTTACATTTAGGCAGAAAATATAATTAGATGCTGAGTTCAGAATATTAGCTTCATGGTAAAGCATCCAAAAAATGGAAGGGAGATGACACTCAAATCAGGCAACAGCAAATAAAAAGAAGAACGATAAAATGCAAAAAAATCATTTGGCTTAGATATAAACTTCACTTATAAATCAATCACCCTTTTTTGGCTACAATAAGTTAGTTACCTTGAACATCCATTCAGTTGCAAAGAACTGAGCTTCCTCACTGGTGTCACTGTTAGAGATGCCCTCAGCAAGTGGCTCCAACTGCTGGGGTAAAGTAAGGAGATATTCACCAACACTGGTCACATAGGATTGTGGATATGCACTGAAGGTAGGAAGAGGAAAAGCACTTTGTTCCTCAACTGATGACCATATTGGTAAACGGGACACATCACTGAGCCGTTGCCGAACTTTAGATATGAGAACATCATATACAAGTTCATTTACTGTATCTGC